GGATCGGGCGCCGGGCGCACCGCGGTCCTGCGGGGCGCGGCAGGGGAGAGGCGGCTCCGCACCCGCCCGCCCCTCCGGTCCCGAGCTCCGCGCCGGGACCACTGCGCCCCAGGCGGGCGGGCGGCTCTCTTGAGCCCAGCGAGGCGGCGGCGGCGCCGCGGTACCGCTGCGTGCGGGCCGGATTCTGGCTCGGAGGCGTTCAGCCGTCAGCCCGCAGGCTGCAGCCTCGGGCCAGGCGCGGCACCAGGGCTCTGACCCTGCGGTTCCTCTCGCACTGAGCCCGACTGCTATTGCAGCAACACATCAGTAGGGTAAAACTAACCTGTCTCACGACGGTCTAAACCCAGCTCACGTTCCCTGTTAGTGGGTGAACAACCCAACGCTTGGTGGATTCTGCTTCACAATGATAGGAAGAGCTGACATCGAAGGATCAAAAAACGACGTCGGAATGAACGCTTGGCCGCCACAAGCCAGTTATCCCTGTGGTAACTTCTGACACCTCCCGCTTCAAACCCCAAAAGCCAGCAGGATCGTGAGGCCCCGCGTTCACGGTCTGTGACCGTGCTGAAAATCAAGACCGAGCTTTCGCCCCTCCGCAGTTGGTTTCCGTCCTTCCCGAGCTCACCTTTAAACCCCTGTGCTACGCTCTAGCAGCTGCACCGCCCCACTCAAACTCACCTGCTGCTGTCCCCGGAGCGAGATCCACCCTCGGGACTCGCTCCCCCGCCTCACGGGATAAGAGTAGCCGAGGTCCTCGGTGCCATGGGTCAGGGGTGGCCTCGGCAGTGCTGGCGAGCGGTTGCACTGGATGATGTTGAAGCTGTTTCCCAGCGCAGCTGATCCGATGGTTCAGTTCCCGCACCCGTCGGGCTCCGGGGCTGGGTTGGGCTCCGGGTGGGTGTCAGGATTAAACCCATCCCAAGGCGCAGCGGGTGCCCTGCCTCGGGGGGGGTTGGTTCATTCCCACCGGCCTTTGCCGCTCCAGTACTTGCTCCTGCAGCGTCGCTGGAACCGGCCTAGCCCGGCCGGGAGTGAGCGGCCGACACCGGTGTTCGGGGTGTCCTTTGTGGGGGGAGAACCTGCAGCGGGGCCGGGACCAACCCCGAGCGGGCGAACGGGACGGGCTCAGCGCCCTCCGCCGTTACCCGCTGCCCGGGGCGGAGCCGGGGGAGGAGCTCCGCAGCCACAGGTGCCGCTGTCCCGTCCCGGCCATGGGCTCCCCGGTCCCGGCCATGGGCTCTCCGGCGCCGCCGCCCCCGCCGGTGCCGCCGCCGGTGCCGCCGCCCCCCCCAGCGCTGTCGCCGGGTGCGCGGCTGCGGGCGCTGCACTGGGAGCCGGTCCCCGCCTGGCGGGTGCGGGGCCGCCGCTCGGTCTGGGCCCCGCCGCCCGCTCCGCTCCCGCCGCTGGACTTGCCCCGGCTCCGGGCGCTGTTCCGGGAGCCCCGCGGGGCCGCCCCGGGGCAGCGCCCGGCGCCCGCGGTGAGACCCAAATCCTGCGCCCAGCGGGACCCTTCCCGCACCCCCCCCTGACCCCCCCCTCCCGCACCCCCCAGGCCGCGCTGCTGGAGCACAAGCGGAGCCTCGCCCTCGGCGTCTTCCTCAAGCAGCTCAAGCGGTGAGCGGGGACCCGGGACCCCCCCGCGCCACCGGGTCCGGTCCGGGGGTCACCGGTGCCCAACGTGCCCCCAGCCCCGTCGAGCAGGTGGTGAGGGACATCGAGGAGGGCGTCGGGGCTCCCTATGGGGCAGAGAAGCTTCTGGAGCTGTCCCGGCTGCTGCCCAGCGCCGCGGAGGTGGGAGCCGGGGTACGCAGGGGTGCGCGGGGCGGGGGGGGTCCCGGTGCACCCCCCCCGAGCCTCTTCCCCGCCCGCAGGTCGCCCGGCTGGGAGCGCACCTCGGCAGTCCCCGGCAGCTCCCCGAGCCCGAGCGCTTCATGGTGCTGCTGACCCGGGTGCCCAGGTCGGGGGGACACATGGACGGGGGGGGGGGGCCCACACGGGTGGGGGCCACTGCTTTCGGAGGGGGCTGGTGCCACACATTGGGGTGGGGTCACACACTGGGGAGAGGGCCCTACACACCCGGGGGTTGCCATACACTGGGGGGATGAGGGATGGGGGATGTCACTTTGGGGAGGATACACACTGGGGAGAGGGGGTCCCATTCATCAGGGGAGTCCCACACACTGGGGGGGCTCCCATGAATTGGGGTGGTTTCCAATGCATTGGAGGGGTCCCACACATTAGCGGTTCCCATGAGCTGGGGGGGGTCCCACGCTCTGCGTGTTCGTTCCCCCATCCCCGCCAGCTACGCCCAGCGCCTGGAGCTGCTGGTGCTGCAGGAGGAGTTCTCCCCGCGGCTCCGCGCCCTCCGCGGCTCCATCCAGACCCTGGCGGCCGCCGGTGCCGGTGAGCGACCCCCGTGGGGTTTCGGGGCACGGGCTGTGCCCCCTCCCAGCTGCTCACTCCCCCAGGCTGCTGCCCCATAGAGCTGATGGAGTGTGAGGAGCTGCACCGCATCCTGCACCTCATCCTGAGCGCCGGCAACCACCTGAACGCGGTGAGCGCGGGCGCGGGCGCTGCCCCGGTGCTGCCGTGAGGGGCTGCGCTCACCTGTCTGCACCCAGGGGGGCTACGCCGGCAGCGCCGCCGGCTTCCGCCTCGCCTCGCTGCTCAAGCTGCCCGACACCAAGGGCAACGAGCCCGGCATGGACCTGCTGCACTTCGTGGCCATGGTGAGCACCCGGCGGCTGCGAGGAGCCCCCATGGGGCCCCAGTGGGAGCCTGGTGGCTCTTGCCCATGTCCTGCTCAAGGTCGCTCCTGTGGGACGCGCTGCCCGGTGCAGGGGAGGATGTTGTTTATCCAGCAGCTGAGGTCCAGCACAGTTCTTCAATCTCTGCCCATGCGGAGATGGTGCTGAGCCTTCTGCAACAGTGCTGGGGTGTCCTTGCCAGTCACCACAGTCACCATCACCCCAGCCCCTTGTGCCCCCTTCTCATGGAATCCCAGCATGGTTTGGGATGCAGGAACCTTAAAGCCCCTCCAGCTCCAACCCCTGCCACAGGCAGGGACCCCTTCCACTGGTGCAGCTTGCTCCAAGCCCCTGTGTCCAACCTGGCCTTGAACACTGCCAGGGATGGGGCAGCCACAGCTTCTCTGGGCACCCTGTGCCAGCGCCTCAGCACCCTCCCAGGGAAGAGCTTCTGCCTAAGAGCTCAGCTCAGTCTCCCCTCGGGCAGGTTCAAGCCATTCCCCTTGGCCTGTCCCCACAGGCCCTTGTCCAAAGCCCCTCTCCAGGTTTCCTGTAGCCCCCTTAGGCACTGGAGCTGCTCTCAGGTGCTTTGGGAGACCATCAGTGCCCCCCAAGCATGTTCCTCTCTCTCCTCGTGTGCCTCGGTTCAGCTCACTCCGGCAGGGACGCGGCCGCGGGCTGTGGCCCCCGGTGACGCCGTGGCCTCCCCCGCAGGAAGCGGCCCGGATGGACCGGACCCTGCTGGACTTCCCGGACAAGCTGCGCCACGTGGGCCTGGCCTCGCGGTGAGGGGCGGCCCCGCTGCAGCGGCCCCGCGGGGCTGCGGCGCAGGCGGTGACCGGAGCCCTCCTCCCCCCGCAGCATCGACGCGGCCGAGGTGGAGCGGGAGCTGCGGCGGCTGGCGGGGCGGCTCGCGGGGGCGCGCGGGCTGAGCGCGGCGGCGCCGTTCCTGCGCGCGGCCGAGGAGGAGCTGCGCGCGGCCTGGCGCGCCCTGGAGCAGCAGCAGCGCGCGGCCGCCGCCACGCTCGACTTCTTCTGCGAGGAGGCGGCGGCGGGCGCGCTCCCGGCGCTCTGCTCCGTCCTGCACCGCTTCGCGCTCGCTCTGCGCGCGGCCGCGGGCGACAACGGCCGCCGGGAGCAGGCGCAGCGCCGCCGGCTGCAGCTGGAGCGCGGGAAGCGCCACTCCATCGCCGCCTGCTCCGCGCCCCCCGACACCGGCGCCCCGCGCCGCGCCCCGCTCACCCCGCAGCCCCCGCGCCGCGGCTCCGAGCCCGCCGCGCGCCAGCAGGACCCGCCCGTTCCCGCGCCGCTGCCCCCGGCCGGTGCTGCTGTTGGGGCGCTCCCGCTCGGCCCCAGCCCCGAGCCGCCCCCCTCGGCCCCGGTCCCGGCCGCCCCCCGCCGGGGCTGGGCCGTGCTGCGCATCCTGCGGCGCCTGGCGGCGGGGCCGGGCCGCGGGGCCCCCCCCAGCTGAGCCCGCGCTGTTTCCCTGTCCCGTCCCCGTCCCCGTTCCCCCCCCCCCCCGAGCGATTTGATAATAAACGATGAGACCAACCCGGGCTCCCGCATGACCAGCGCCTCCCGCCCCTGGCCCCCACGTACTCCCATAGCTATCACATCCCCTCATGTGCCCCCCACAGCCGTGTCTCTTACGGCCACATCTCCTCACATCTCACCCCTTCCATCATGTCCCCCAGTACTGACCCATGGCCGTGCCCCCACCCCACCCGGCCCTGTGCTCTCTGTCACTGCTGTGGTGCTGGTGGTTGCACGGGTGGATGCTGCAGGGTGCTGCAGGGCTGCTCATGGAGGAGTTCAGTGGCCCCCCCGAGGGGGCAGGGCAGGCTGGGTCCTGCCTCATTGGAGGCAGGGGTGTCCTCAACACCCCTGAGGACAGAGGATGTTGAACAGCTCCAGGGAATCTGCTCCAGCAGTGCCAGGGTGGTTCTTCTTCTGAACTGAATGGGGATGGTTTGTGTTGGAGCAGAATTGCCCCATGGGCAAGAACACCTTCCAACAGCTTCACATCCCTCTTATGCTGAGGGCTTTAAAGTCCAAACCATTCCATGAGATCCCAGTTCCACTCCCAGCCCATTACTGGGCCCAGAAAACAGAGGCTGGAGCGCAGGCTGTGGCGCTCTGGGCAGATGCCAGCAGGGCAGGGGCTGCTTGCTGAGGCCCGTGCCTCCCGGGAATGCTGGCGCCATCCCAAAGGAGCAGAGCTCAGTGGGGGGGGGCGAGAGGAGGAGGCCCCGGTTACAGAAATAAATCGATATATTAGTGTGTACAAAACATGCTGCTGCCCCCCGCGGCCTCCACACATATAAATAACACCCCGGGGGCTCAGGTGGGAGATGCCTGCGCGGGGCCCGCCCCACCGGCACCGGCCCCGGCCCCGGCCCAGCCCGCGGGCCCCGGCACCGGCCTGGCCTGCCCGGGCTCACTTGAGGTCCACATCGAAGTCCAGCACCAACAGCTTGGTCTCCTCGGTGCCGTTGCGGCTGCCCACGGCACAAACCAGCTTCGTGTTGGAGGCGCGGATGCGCCACACGACGCCGCCGCTGCCGCCGCTCTCCAGCGCCACCAGGTTGCGCACGAACTCGCCCGTCTTCAGGTCCCAGAGCTTGACGGTGCCGTCGTCCGAGCTGGTCACCACGAACTTGGAGCTGAACTGCAGGCAGGTCACGGCGCTCTGGTGCTTGCTGGGCCCTAGGAGCAGAGCGACCGCAGTCAGAACCGCTGGAGATCATCGGCTCCAACCCACCCCCAGGGCAGGGCTGCCCAGAGCAGGGCACAGGAGTGTGTCCATGGAGGGGTTGGGATGTCTGAGGTGGAGACTCCACAAAGCTCTGTGGAGCCTGTGCCAGGGCTCTGCCACCCGCAGTGGAAGGAAGTTCTCCCTCACATTGTTCTTCCTCGTGTTTAGGGGAGATTCAGGTCAGATGTAAGGAAGCTCCTCCCTATGAGGGTGCTGAGGGGCTGGCAAAGGGTGCCCAGAGAAGCTGTGGCTGCCCTATCCCTGGCAGTGTTCAAGGCCAGGAGCAACCTGCTCTTTGGAAGGTATTCCTGCCCATGGCAGGGTTTGGAACTGGAGGAGCTTTAAGGTCTCTTCCAACACAAACCAGGCTGGGATTCCAGGATTCATTCTACGATTCCTATGAAACTTGTGTTTTAGTTTATGGCCATTGCTCCTCATCCTGTCACTGGGCACCACTGAGAAGAGTCTGGCACCCAACTTTGAGATACTGATCTGCATTGATGAGATCCCCTCTCAGGCTGCTCTTCTCCAGACTCAACAGGCCCAGTTCTAGCAGTTTCTCACAGAACAGAATCCCAGAGTGGTTTGGGTTGAAGGGACCTTAAACTTCATCCAGTTCCAACCATATCCCATGGGCAGGGACACCTTCCACTAGAAGATAATCTAGTCTTTCAGTTCTGAGACGTCTTCTCATCAGATATGCTCCAGACCCCCGACCATCCTTGTAGCCTCCACTGGAAGCCTTCCAGTACCTCGTCTTTCTTGTCCTGAGGAGCCCAGCACTGGACACAGGACTCCAGATGTGGCCTCACCAGCGTCAAGGAAAGGGGGAGGATGATCCCCCTCAACCTGCTGCCACACTCCTCCTGATGCACCCCTGCATATTCCTGTCCCTCCTGGCTCAAGGTCACACTGCTGCCTCATGGTCAGCTTCTCATCCATCAACTCTCCCAGGTGTCGGCTCAACTGCTCTCTAGCTGTCAGCCCCAGCCTGTGCTAGGACTTTGGGATCCCTCAGTTCCATGCTCCCACCACAACCCCATTGGGAGCCCCCTTGACAACCTCTGCCCTGCCCCATCTAGCAGCCACACGTGTCCCCAGCGCGCAGCAGGAGGAGCTGCCCCGTTCCAGCACTCACCCTGCAGCGTCTGCAGGCACTGGCCTGTCTTGATGTCCCAGATTTTGACGGTGGAGTCGGCGTTGCCGGACACAAGGATGTTGTCCCGCAGCTCCATGCCGCTGGTGAGCGACTGGTGCCCCATGAGGGTGTGCAGACAGTTCCCACTCTCCACGTCCCATACACGGATGGATGTGTCCAGGGAGCCGCTCACAATGTGCGTCCCATCAAACTGCCCAGGGAGACACAATCAGCATAGCCTGAGCAGGGGAAGGGGCAATACCAGCCTGCGGTCAGGGACAGGGCACAGCTGCTTGAGAGACATTCTTGTGTCCCCTGCAGCTAATCCAGGTGCACATGTGACTGGCAGTGTATTCAAAGAACCCAAGCCTGGGTTGGGCTGGAGAGAGCTTAAAGCTCCTCCATTCCCAAACCCCTGCCACAGGCAGGGACCCCTTCCACTGGAGCAGCTTGCTTCAAGCCCATGTCCAACCTGGCCTTGAACACTGCCAGGGATGGGGCAGCCACAGCTTCTCTGGGCACCCTGTGCCAGCGCCTCAGCACCCTCCCAGGGAAGAGCTTCTGCCTAAGAGCTCAGCTCAGTCTCCCCTCGGGCAGGTTAAAGCCATTCCCCTTGGCCTGTCCCTACATCCCTTGTCCCAAGCCCCTCTCCAGGCTTCTTGCAGCCCCTTTAGGCACTGGAGCTGCTCTAAGGTCTCCCCTTCAGGAGCTTTCTCTTCTCCAGGCTGCCCCAGCCCAGCTCTCTCAGCCTGGCTTGAGCAGAGGTGCTCCAGCCCTCGCAGCAGCTCCATGGCCTCCTCTGGCCTCACTCCAACAGCTCCACATCCCTCTTACGCTGCTGCCCCAGAGCTGGATCAGGACTGCAGGTGGGGTCTCCCCATAGCACAGCAGAGGGGCAGGATCCCCTACCTGAGCTGCTGCTCACTCTCTTGGGGTGCAGCCCAGCAAACGGGGAAGGGGGGGGGTGGTTCTGAGCTCAAGCACTCACTGAAGCTGGGTCATGGGGAGTTTCTCCTCACCCAACACCCAAAGTCCTTCTCCTCAGGGTGTGTGTCCCTGCAGCACACCTGTGGTGTCAGGGAGCAGGGCAGAGGGCCTCCCATGCAGGGATCAAACACAGCCCATGTGTCCCTGGGGCCATCAGTGGGAGGGACAGGGGCTCCAGGGTGTTACCTGCAGGGAGTAGACGCGGTTCGTGTGTCCCTGCAGTGTGTGGGTGCAGCTCTCGCTCTCGGGGTCCCACACCTTCACTGTGTAGTCGTAAGCACCGCTCACCACCTTGTGCCCATCATACTGCACACAGCGCACAGCAGCCACGTGCCCCATGAGCACGTGCAGGCACTGCCCTGTCTCAATGTCCCACAGGCGCAGCGTCGCGTCCCGAGAGCCGCTCACCACCCTGTGGGCATGGACATGGAGCACAACCACATCTGACCTCGGGCGATGGAGGCAACCCCGAGGAGCAGCTTTTCCTCCTGAGGGAAACCTCTTCCCACACAGCCACAGATCCACCTCTGTGCCCACACCCCAGCCCAGCCCAAGCCCCACATCATAGACCTATGGACTGGTTTGGGTTGGAGGGACCTTAAGGCTCACCCAGCTCCAAACCCTCCCAGCAGAGCGGGCAGCTGAAGCCCCCCTGCCCGTACCTGTTGCCGTGCAGGTGCATGCAGCGCACGGTAGACGTGTGCCCGTAGAGCGTGTGCACGCACTCGCCCGTGTCCGCGTTCCACACTTTGAGGGTCCGGTCCGTGGAGCCGCTGATGACGATGCTGTCCCTCATCTGTGATGACCACACACCACCGGTGTGACCCACCAGGGTCTGCACACACTGCGAGGGGCAGGATGGGGACACTGCATTGGGAAAGGCTCCACAATGTGGCAAAGGAGCAGCAGAGCACAGGACAATCCCCCCCCGCCCCGGTGCAGCATCCGCGAGGTTCATCCCTCAGTGATCCACTCCCTGCACCAGACCCCACCAGAGTCCTCTCCATGACATGGTCCTCTGAACCCAGCTGAGTTTCCTGCCCTCCTGCATCTCCAGGAAGATGCTCCACACTTGCTGACCTGAGCTGAAAACACAAGTGTAGCCAACTCTTGCTCATTTGGCACTGCACCATCAGACTGGTGGCTTAAGACAGCTCCTGCAGCCAGAGGCTCTGTCAGATCTCCTCAGAGACGGGACAAATCATGGAACCAACCAGGCTGGGAAAGAGCTTCAGCACCACCCAGTGCAACCCCTCCCCAGCACTGCAAAGCCACCACTGCCCCATGGCACTGAGGCCTCGTCTCCATGGGGTGTGAACCCTTGCAGGGCCGGTGCCTGCAGCCCTGCCCTGGGCAGCCTGTTCCAATGCCTGAGCACCCTCTGGGGCAGGAATTGTTCCTCAGCTCCATCTAAACCTGCCCTGGTGCAGCTTGAGGCCGTTTCCTCTTGTCCCATCCCTTGTTCCTTGGGAGCAGAGCCCAGCCCCTCCTGGCTCCATCCTCCTGTCAGGCACTTGTAGGCAGCGATCAGGTCCACCCTGAGCCTTTTCTCCCCACTGAACCCCCCAGGTCCCTCAACCCTTCCCCATCACACTTGGGCTCCAGGCCCTGCACCAGCTCCGCTGCCCTTCTCTGGCCCCGCTCCAGCACCTCAATGTCTCTCATGCAGTGAGGGGCCCAGAGCTGAACACAGGATTCAAGGTGTGGCCTCACCAGTGCCCAGCACAAGGAGACAATCCCTGCCCTGGCCCTGCTGCTGCACCAGTGCTGATACAGGATCTGTATCAGACAAAATCCACTACAAGGCCTCTCCCAGCCCCCACTCGGGCAGGACCAGGTCTTACCTCCCCTGTCACAGCCGACCACACTTTGAGGGTGTTGTCGTCGGAGCCGCTGACGATGCGGTTGCCACAGAACTGCAGGCAGGTGATGACGTGGTCGTCGTGTCCCTTCAGCACCTGCATGGGGAACACCAGGAGTGAGGCTCAGAGCCCAGTGTGGACATCTGGTGGCTACTGCTGGGGGCTACCCAGGGACTTCAAAACCTGGCTGGACCCCTGTGGCTCTGAAGGCCACCTGGAGCTCAGAGTCACCACTCTGTCCCAGATCATCTAAAAATCAGACTCACAGAACAGTCTGGATTGGAAGGGACTTCCAAGCACCCCCTGACCCTTTTCCTGCTCTAAGCCTGGAGGACTCCATGGGGTTGGGACCCATCAGGACCCAGCCCTTTGTCTCTTTGAACCTCATCCCCTTGGCCCACCAATCCAGCCTGTCCAGATCCCTCTGCAGAGCTTCCCACACATATTTCCAGGTGGATGCCTGTGGCTGGTGCCTCCTCAGGACAGGTCAGACCTGTCCGCCTCTTCCTGAGGCACTCTGACAATTCCTGGTGTTGTTCTCATCCAGCTGTCACAGATGTTTCTCTGCTACTTCCTTCGTGCTCCAACTTCCCACACGGGAAAGCTCTGGAGCCTGGTTCTCACCAGGACACCCCGAGGCACCCACCTTGGGGGCTCGGAGCTCCCCGCTGCGCCAGTTCATGTCGATCTTGTGCTGCCGCATGAAGGCGAATTTCCAGGGGCTGTACATGAAGCCAGGGCTGAGCAGGCGCCGCTTCCGCAGGTTCAGGGGCTCCTCGATGCCTGCAGGAGGGAACCGCCGCGGGATGTGACACAGGACACGGCGGGGGCATTCCCGCACCCTGGGGGAGCTCAGATGAGCACACGCTGGGTGCTGTGGGCTCCCCGGTGCTGCACGGATGAAGGGCTTTACCTTCCTCACGGCACTTCTCCCTCCAGAGCAGGTTGTCCTCAGCCAAGACCCTCCAGTAGCGACAGGTCTGGGCAGCACGGAGCAGGTCCCGAGGCTCCAGGAAGGAGAGGACATAGAGTGCCAGCTGCAGAGAGGACACCGAGTTAAGGGGGCACCAGGAACTCCAGGGGCACTCCTATGGCCGGTGATGGGTGCCCAGAGCATCCCTTGGCTCAACTCACCTCCTTGGGCAGCAGGGAAATGAAGTCTCTCTGGAACTGGGGCTCAATGACCTGCATCATGTACTTGATCTGGGAGGGCTCGCAGCGGTCAATGAGCTCATCCAGAGCAAGCAGCTTCTCTGGGCCACTCCACCGCTGAGGAGAGGACATGGGTCACGCTGCCTGCACCCAGGGCAGCCCGCACCAACCCCACAGGCACCAACCCCACAGGCACCAACCAGCATGGGCACAAGGGGCTAGGGGGCCACCGGAGCAGGACAGGGCTCTGCTACCTGGACCTCAAGGTAGAGCAGAGCCAGAGATGGGGCTGGGTGCTCCAGGAATCATGGACAAAGCAACAACCCTCAGGTTGAAGGAGAGCAGGAGCCAGGCCAACACCACCCTGTGCTCCCTCACCTGAGGCAAAACCTCACCAAACATCAACCCAAATCCCTGCGTGAGGAGGGCTCCACGCTGATGGGCTCCCCAGGGCTTGGTTTCCCTCCTGCGCATCCACCAAACCCCAAGCTCCCAGTGTCCCTGTGGGAGCCCTTTGGCACCAGCCTACCTGGAAGGTGCGGAGCCAGTCCTGCAGCTCAGGCGGGGGGGGCACCGAGGGGATGCGGCGGCGCCGGGCTGGGCCTGCCTTGGCATTGCGAAGGTCCCCGAAGGTGGTGGTGGGACTGGGGGTGCAGGGACCCAGTGTCCTGCACCGCAGCAGGGAGACACCACGTCAGCACAGCCATACCGTGCCAAGGGGTCCCACAACAGAGCAACCCAGCCCCACCAGCCAGGAGCCTGCACGGACCCCTGCCACTGGTAGGACACCCAAATGGCTGAGGGTGGCTCTGGCAGAAGGACACCCAGATGGCTGAGGGCTGCTCTGGTAGCCAGGTGTGCTCCTGTCCATCTCACCTGCTGTACTCGGAGCCCTTGCGCAGCTTCTTGCCCGGGGAGAGGGCTCTGCCATCGAGGCCGTTCTCTGACTTTCTCTTCATCTGCAAGGAGAAGACATGCCAAACCCTTCTGGGGTCGCACCTTCCTGCCCAAAGGAGGCCCAAGCTGGCACCGCCATGGCAGCATGCCCGGAGGTGCTGAGGTCACCAGCTCCCACAACAGCCCCACAGGCCATGTGCCAGTGCCAGCTCCAGCCACCAGCGCCAGCCTCTGGGGTGAAGCCGCAGCTTGGGGCTGTTACCTTCGGTCTCACGTGCCGGAGGAGGCCACCATCCTCCGTCCGCTGCAGGTAGTCGATCCAGCGCTCGCCAATGGTGTAATAGAAGTAGACGTTGCCACCATCCTCCCCTTCCTCACTGTAGCAGCTCCCCTCCTCCTCCTCTTCCTCCTCGTCCTCCTCCTGCTCCCCGCAGCCTGTGGAGCTGAGTGGCTCCGGTGCCCGGTGTCTGCTGGAGCCATCAGCCTCCAGCCCAGGCCCTGTGCTCCCAGCGCGCTCCGGCTCCCAGGCGCCTGCAGCCTCTGCCTCCTCCTCAGCCCCTGCCTGCAGCAGAGGGAGGGCAGGGTCAGGTCTGGCTGTGCTGCCATCAGGGGTGAAGGAGCCTCCAGCCCAGGCCCTGTGCTCCCAGGGCGCACACTCCAGGCCACATCCCAGGCGCAGCTGCAGCCTCTGCCTCCTCCTGTGTTCAGCCCCTGCCTGCAGCAGAGGGAGGGCAGGGTCAGGTCCTGGAGCCCAAGTGTGATGGGGAAGGGGTGCCCTGGGGGGTTCAAGGGGAGAGGAGAAGGCTGCCCTCTGCAGTGCAGAGCCTGAGAGGATGGAGCCAGGAGGGGCTGGGCTCTGCCCCCAAGGAGCAAGGGATGGGCACACTCTAGGGACAGGCCACATGCACCAGGGCAGGTTTACAGCTGCAGCTGAGGAACAATTCCTGCCCCAAAGGGTGCTCAGGCATTGGAACAGGCTGCCCAGGGCAGGGCTGCAGTCACCGTCCCTGCAAGGGTTCACACCCCGGGGAGACGAGGCCTCAGTGCCATGGGGCAGTGGTGGCCTTGGCAGTGCTGGGGCAGTTGTACTGGATGATCTTACAGGTCTTTCCCAACCCAGCTCACTCTGTTTCCATGACTCCAAACTTTCTTGTCCTACCTGGGGGACAGGAGCTTTATTGTCCCCCTGCAGACCAGGGCTCACTCTCGCTTCTTCCTCACTGCTTGGTCTCCTCCTGCAAGTCATCCGCTGGCTGTTGAGCTCCAAAATGCGGGTGGTGATGCCCTTGACAAGGAGAAGATCATCCAGCGAGCTGAAGCCTTTCAGTTCCTGTGAGAAGAGAAGAGTCAAAGCAAAGCTGAGAAATCCAAGGAGCAGCAGGGCCTGCTCACTCACACCCTGGTTTCCTTCCTGCTGGTTCAGAGCTCCCAGCCTTTGCCTCTTCTGACCACCAGCTCCCTCTGAGCCTTCAGGTGAAGGAGGGTAGCAATGCCATGTACAGGAGATACCTTTGTACTGCCTGTCTTCACTGCTGCTCCCATCCAAAGGGACGGATGCCTTCTCCCAAACCAACCATTCCCATGTAATCCCTCCCAGCTCCCTGCCCTGAACAAGGAGCAGCCACAGCACCAGAGCTGCCTCTGAGCAGGGGAGCAGCAGACCAGGAGCATGGCACCAACACAGCAGGGACGCAGACTGCTGGAGAGGGGCCCAGCATAGAGAACGTCCACTGTGATGACTCACATAGAGAGCAAGGGTCTGACCATTCCAAATCATGGAACCACAGCCTGGTTCCAGTTGGGCTGAAGAGAGCTTAAAGCTCCTCCAGTTCCAACCCCTGCCTTGGGTAGGGACCCCTTCCACTGGAGCAGCTTGCTCCAAGCCCCTGTGTCCAACCTGGCCTTGAACACTGCCAGCGATGGGGCAGCCACAGCTTCTCTGGGCACCCTGTGCCAGCGCCTCAGCACCCTCCCAGGGAAGAGCTTCTGCCTAAGAGCTCAGCTCAGTCTCCCCTCGGGCAGGTTAAAGCCATTCCCCTTGGCCTGTCCCTACATCCCTTGTCCCAAGCCCCTCTCCAGCTTTCCTGCAGCCCCTTCAGGCACTGGAGCTGCTCTCAGGTCTCCCCTTCAGGAGCCTTCTCTTCTCCAGGCTGACCCAGCCCAGCTCTCTCAGCCTGGCTCCAGAGCAGAGCTGCTCCAGCCCTCACAGCATCTCCATGGCCTCCTCTGGCCTCGCTCCAACAGCTCCACGTCCCTCTTGTGCTGCTGCCCCAGAGCTGGATCAGGACTGCGGGGGGGGTCTCCCCATAGCGCAGCAGAGGGGCAGGATCCCCTACCTGAGCTGCTGCTCACGCTCTGGGGGTGCACCCAGAACACGGGGATTTCTGAGCTCAAGCGCTCACTGAAACCGGGTCATGGGGAGCTTCTCCTCACCCAACACCCCAAGCCCTCCTCCTCAGGGCTGCTCCATCCAGCATCCACCACGCATCACCCCGAACCCCTCCTGCAGCTGCTCCCTCAGCGTAACCCCGACTCCGGTGACAACCCCTGCTCCAGTCCGTTCTGTCCTCCCGGTGCTGCAGTTCCACCACCCCCGCTGCCCCGCCGGTGCCCCAGCCCCTTGCCCGACCCCGCTCCACCGCCTCCTGCCCGGCCGAACCCATCCCAGCTCCAGCCGCTCCCCGCTCCGACCCCTCCCCTCGCTGCCCAACACCGGCACCGGACCCCGGCCCTGGCCCGCCGGTTTTTCACGCGTTGCAGTCCCGCCCAGCCCAGGTCACCGCCGGTGACAGACCCGGCCGGGCACGGGCGAGCGACCGCGCCTCCGGCCCCGGCCCGCCCCACCCGGGACGCGGCTCTTTCCGCCGCAGCCGCGCCCCCGGAGCGGGCTCCCGCGGGGCCCCCGGAGAAGCCACCGCGGCCGGGGCGCGGCAGCAGCGCCGGTCACGGCGCCCGGGGCCGCCCGCCGCCTCCTCGGCTCCCCTCCCGCACCTCTCTCTTGCGCACGATGCCGCGGGCGCGGCGCCGGCCGATGCCCTGCAGCGCGCCCTGCAGCTCCGCGGCGCCCGCGCGGTTGATGTCCAGCGGCCCCGCACCGGGGCCCGGCCCCGACATCCCGGCCCCGCCGCCTCGCAGGCCTCGCCGCTCCGCGCAAGCGCCGCTTCACCCCGCCTACCGAGCCGTGACGCCACATGGAAACAGCGCGTTTATTGGTGACCGCGCCCACCCAGCCGAGGCACCGCACCGAAACAGCACGCTCATTGGTGGCCGCGCCCCTTGCCCCGCCCACGGGACGCTGACGCAATGCGGAAAAAGGCTGTTTATTGGTGGTGGCGGGGCGGGACCGGAGCTACCGGCGCTTGTAGAGGCAGGGCCGCAAGCGCAGCCCCGGCACGGGGCGGCCGCGAGGGGACCCGGTCTTGGAGAACTCGAGCAGGTGGAAGAAGGCGCTGGAGAGGTCCTGGGGCAGCGGCGTCACCGACTGGCACCGACGGGCCCCATAGCGCCCCACAGCGGCAGTGCAACCCGCGTGCCCAACACTGCCCAGCCCCAGTGCACCCCGTGTGCCCAACACTGCCCAGCCCCAGTGCACCCCGTGCGCCCAACACTGCCCAGCCCCAGTGCACCCCGTGTGCCCAACACTGCCCAGAGCCCAGCCCCAGTGCAGCCCGTGTGCCCAACACTGCCCAGCCCCAGTGCACCCCGTGCGCCCAACACTGCCCAGCCCCAGTGCACCCCGTGCGCCCAACACTGCCCAGCCCCAGTGCACCCCGTGCGCCCAACACTGCCCAGCCCCAGTGCAGCCCGTGTGCCCAACACTGCCCAGCCCCAGTGCACCCCGTGTGCCCAACACTGCCCAGCCCCAGTGCACCCCGTGTGCCCAACACTGCCCAGCCCCAGTGCACCCCGTGTGCCCAACACTGCCCAGCCCCAGTGCACCCCGTGTGCCCAACACTGCCTAGCCCCAGTGCACCACATGTGCTCAGCGCTGCCCCAGACCCCAGCACCCCACACCTGCTGCATCTCAAGCCTCCTTGTGCCACCTCAAATCCAGCAGCCCCTCCCCTGAGTGCCCCAACTCCGTCCCAGACCCCAGATCCCATCCCCACTGTGCCCATTGTGCTCCAACCCCAGCCCAAACCCTGGTACCCCATCCCAGTGCACCCTGAGTGCCACAACCCCAGCCCAGTCTCCCCTCCCTTTCAGACCCTGAGTGCCCCAAACCTCTTCCAGCCCTTAGCATCACATCCCCCATGTGCCCCAAGTGCTCCCAGCCCAGACCATGACCCCCAGTTGGCCCAGCTCTCCCTGACCCCCAACATCACAGCATCAGTGTGTCCCAAGTCCCCCAAACATGCTCCCAGCCCTCAGTCCCTGCATGCTCTGAGTCCTTAGCACCCCCAGACCAGCTCCCCGAGGATTCACCTTGGAGATGCTTTTGAAGCCCAGCTGAGCCATTGCGCTCATGAAGGCTCGCATATCCTCAAAGCGGCTGGCCACCTCGGCCACCATCAGGGTACCCCTGTGGAACACCCCAGCCCTCAGGGGCAGCACCGGCACCTCCCGGCTCAGGTAACACCTCCCAGTGCATCTGGCTCTGCTTACCCCAGCTTCAGCACCCGGTTGGCTTCCTCCAGGATCTCCTGCAGGTTGGTGCCCATCAGCGCCAGGCAGAACACTGCAACGTCCACTGACTTGTCTGCCAAAGGCACCTGTTGGACACTCCCGGGACGCACGTCCCAGGAAGAAGATGAGGATGGCAACAGGGCTGGGGCAGCCCTTCCACAAGCTGCTAATCCCAGGCTCCTGGATTCAGCCGGGCATCGCTTCTGGAGAGCGGGAGGTTTCGCAGTGCCCCAGACAGACATGTGTTCCCCGAGAGGGACCCCTGATTCCCCTCTCCTGCCCCACAGCATCCCCGCCCAGCCACCTTGGCCATGTCGCAGACGGTGACCTCTGGGCTGAGCGGCACCAGGTCAAAGGAGTGAACTTTGTTCTTGATGCTTTTGGCGAGTTTGCAGTCCCCGCACCCGAAATCCGCTACCACGAGCGAGGATGGCCTGGGGGTGGGACCGGGGTCAGGGCGCTGCCCTCGCCTCGGCCTCGGCGCTGCCCGCCGGCCCCGGCTCACCGCCGCCGCAGGGCGTGCGCGATGCGCTGCACCGGGTTCTCGGGCCAGCGGCCCACTTGCTGCGTGAAGCCGCGGTGGTAGATCTGGAAGGCTTCGGGGTCGTCCCGGAAGAGCTTTGCCGCTTCCCGGCTGCTGGACGTGTAGAGCTGCTGGTTGATGTACCGGAACCGGGCGGCCAGCAGCCGCTCCTCCATCCGGGCGCGCAGAGCCGCCGCCCGCCCCAGCGGCGCCGCTGCCGGTGCCGCCGGGCCCGCAGGGAGCTGCTGCTGCTGCTGCTCCTCCTGCTCCTCCGGGCGCCGCTTCAGCCGCTGCCGCCGGCTCAGCTTCCGCGCCGGTTTCGCGGGCTCCGCGCTCGGCCGCTCCCCGGCCCTGTCTGCGGGTCCCGGCCCCGCTCCAGGAGCTGCCCCGCGGGCGGTGGTACCTGTGTCCGGCCGCTGCGCGCTCCGCCGCCGCTCCCCGGCCTCGGGCCGCCTCCGCGGGGTCTCACCGTCAGCCCCCGGCCGCCGCCGCTTCCGCCTCCCCGCCGCGGGGCCCTGCGGACGGCGGGCTCCAGTCACCTCTCCCCGCCCAGGGACCGGCCCCGGACAGCCCAGAGCGCGCTGCCCTTACCGGCCGGCCCGGGCCCTCGGGGGCGCCGCGGGGCCCCGACAGAGCCCGGGCGGGGCCCTCGCAGCCATCGTCCCACTCTTGCTCCGCGAACATGGGCCAGGACCACGTGTATCCGCCCGGCGGGGCCAGAGCGGCCCCGGCAGCACCAGCGGAAGCAGCGCCCACACGCGGCCGGGAGGCAGAGCAGCCCCGAGCCCTGAGCCGCCTCCCGAGCCCCACGCCCCGCCCCTTGAGCACCGCTTGCCCCGCCCCCGAGCCCCGCTCGCCCCGCCCCCGAGCCCCACGCCCCGCCTCCGAGCCCCGCTCGCCCCGCCCCCGGAGCCCCACGCCCCTCCCCCGAGCCCCGCTCGCCCCGCCCCCGAGCCCCGCTCGCCCCGCCCCCGAGCCCCACGCCCCTCCCCCGAGCCCCGCTCGCCCCGCCCCCGGAGCCCCACGCCCCTCCCGTGCCCAGCGTCGTGCCCGGCCGCGCCGCTGCCGGTGCTCGGTGGCGGTGCCCAGTTCCCGCCCCCGGTTCCCGCCACGCCCCTTTGCCGTCGCGCGGAGCCCGGAGGCTGTGCGGCGTCCGTCCGGCAGGGGGCGCTGCGGCGTCCGTCCATGGGCGGAGCCCACGCGCTGTCCCGCGCCCGCGAGCCAGCGCCCTTCGGCGAGCGGAGCCGGTGAGAGCCGGGACCGGAGCGCAGCGGGGCGGGGGTGGGGAGGGGCCGGAGCGGGGCGGGGGGCAGGGAGCTGGGCCGGGGCCGCCGTTGGCGCCGACAGGGCCGGGCGGGGCTGGTGCGGGGGTGAGCGGGCAGCGGCTGCGGTTGGACGGGTCGGGAATGAGGCTGGGCCGGGCCCCGGTGCGGCGGGGCTGGGACACGGAGACGTTGGGGGTGGAGGGGGCAGAGGCTGTTGAAGCCATGGAGGACGGGCAGGACCCACTGAGGACAGGCAGGGACCCACTGAGAAAGGACAGAGCCACCGGCCCTGGGGCAGAGCCACCGGCCCTGGGGCAGAGCCACCGGCCCTGGGGCAGAGCCACCGGCCCTGGGGCTGTCAGGACCCGCAGGACGCGGGGCTGGGATGTGGGCAGAACTCCCCTGTCCTCGCAGCCACTGAGCCAGGATGACACCGCCGCTGCCCTGGCGGTGCTGGAGCCTCGCAGCGTTTGTGTCTCCTGCATCCCTCACCCAGCAGCCCGGGTCTCTCCCCGGGGTCAGCCGGGTCCGTCCTGCCCGTGTTTAACCCCTCACGGGTGTCTGTTGGGGACATGGTGCGCGGTCCGTGCCTGCACCCTCGCTGTGGGACTCGCTGAGGGCAGCCCCACGTCCCTGCTCGATGCTTCAGACCCTCAGGGAAATGAAGGCACGGCCGGAGCTCGGGGTGTTGCCAGAGGGCTGCTGTCATGGGCTGCTGTCCCCAGGGGGTTAAATCTGCAGCCGGGTGTTCTCTTTGCCGGTCTCCGGTGGTTTGAGGGGAGCTCCCGGCCCTTTGTGGTCCCAGCGGAGCGTGAGGCTGCGCCACATCCAGCCGAGGCTGGGCAGAGACAGGGCTCAGGATGGTCCGTGAGCGGTGGGATCCCATGGGGGTGGTGCTGGACGCCCCCGGGCACTGCGGCCACCGGCTGCGGCTGTGCCTCGCGATAAGCCCCCGGTGCCAAATGTGCTTCCTGGTGACACCGCAGCCCTGAGCTTCCCCTGCGGCGGCGGCTCCGTCCCGGCCTCCAGCGCTCCCACAGTGTTCCATAGAGCTGAGGAGGGAGCATGAGGCTCCTGTCCCGGGGGATGCCGCAGCCGAGGGGACGCCGTGTCCGGGTCCTGGGGCTGTGTGCGGGACAGGGGGGCAGCGAGCCCCGTGTGTGCCCCGTGTGCCCAAATCCCCGTGTCCGCACAGCGAGAGCCGCAATGGACGACATCTTCACGCAGTGCCGGGAGGGCAACGCGGTGGCCGTGCGCCTGTGGCTGGACAACACCGAGAATGACCTCAACCAGGGGTGAGCGGAGGGGGACTGGGACGGGGGCCGGGGCAGGGGCTGGACTTGGGCTCGCTTCCGCCCCACTCCGAGTCCCGGGAGCGGGTGGGATTCAGCTCCTCCCCGCCGGGAGGAAGTTACGGCATCGCTGTGGCACGGGCCGAGACCGCTGATCCTCCGGCCGTTTGGAGCCGAGGCTGCGCTGGGGGCGCTCGGGGGATGCCCCCGTCCCTGGGGTGGGGAACGGGGCTGGGTGAGCTCTTCCCATGGGAGCACGGCCCCGGGTTGACAGCAGGGCTGGAGCAGTGAGGGACGCTCCCGCCCATCCCACCGGTTCCGTGCCCCTGTGTCCTGCCCTGGGTCTGTCCTCCTGCTCCCGGGGCTCCCACAGGACCTCCCGTGTTTGGAGCTGACACCTCCATCGCTGTGGGCAGGCAGGTTCCTGCCGGGCCGTGGCAGCATCTTCCCTGAGCTCGTCCTGGACAAGGGACCTTCCCGTGGCCACATTTTTGTGTCCCTCCTGGGGGTCCCAGTCCCGCGGGTCATGCTGGGCACTCCTGGGGTGTTTGGTCGTGTCACAGAACCCCAGCCTGGTTTGGGTTGGAAGGGACCTTAAAGCTCCACCAGCTCCAACCCCTGCCACGGGCAGGGACACCTTCCACTGGAGCAGCTTGCTCCAAGCCCTGTACAGTGTGTGCCAGGGCCCTGCTGGGTTGGGGTGTCGGTTGCAGGGCAGAGGGAGCCGGGGGTGCCCCAGCCCTGCCGTGGGCCCCGGTCTCCTTTTAAGGCCCGGCCGGTCTCCTCCTCCCTTACTTGGCCAGGATGGAGCAAGGGGCCGGGGGAGGCGGGATCCAGGCTCTGGCTCCTGCCAGTGTCTGTGATTCATGGGAAGATGGGATTTGGCCTCGGGCTCCGGGGCCCCAGTGGGGATGGGAGAGCGCGGGAGGAGCCGTGTGCCTGCTGCCCCCGCAGGGATGACCACGGCTTCAGCCCGCTGCACTGGGCCTGCCGCGAGGGCCGTGCCAACGTGGTGGACATGCTCATCATGCGCGGGGCGCGCATCAACGTCATGAACCGCGGCGACGACACCCCCTTGCACCTGGCTGCGAGCCACGGCCACCGTGACATCGTGCAGAAGGTACCTGCAGCACCGCTGGCACCAGGAACTGGGCTGGGCTCTGGGTCAGGGAACCACAGAGCCAACCTGGCTGGTGGAGAGCAGGAGCATCCGGTGCAACCGCTCCCCAGCACTGCCAAGGCCACCACTGCCCCATGGCACTGAGGGCCTTGGCCACACAGGGTGTGAACCCTCGCAGGGCCGGTGCCTGCAGCCCTGCCCTGGGCAGCCTGTTCCAATGCCTGAGCACCCTTTGGGGCAGGAACTGTTCCTCAGCTCCATCTAAACCTGCCCTGGTGCAGCTTGAGGCCGTTTCCTCTTGTCCCATCCCTTGCTCCTTGGGAGCAGAGCCCAGCCCCTCCTGGCTCCATCCTCCTGTCAGGCACTTGTAGGCAGTGATCAGGTCCCCCCTGAGCCTTCTCTTCTCCAGCCTGAACCCCCCAGGTCCCTCAGCCCTTCCCCATCACACTTGGGCTTCAGGCCCTGCACCAGCTCCGCTGCTCTTCTCTGGCCCCACTCCAGCACCTCAGTGTCTCTCCTGTAGTGAGTGGCCCAGAGCTGAACACAGGATTCGAGGTGCAGCATCACCAGCGCCCAGTGCAGGGGCACAATCCCTGCCCTGGCCCTGCTGCCACACTGGTGCTGATCCGGGCCAGGATGCTGGGGGCTTCCTGGCTGCCTGGGCACAAGCTGCTCGTGTTCAGCTCCATGTCAGTATCCCCAGGTCCTTTCCCTCCAGGTCCACCCAGGGCTCTCTCCCCTTTGTCACCTCCTGGGTTCCTTGCCATGAAGTTGCTGTATCCCCACATCTGAGCTCCTTCACCCTCCCCACAGAAGCCCCTCCTCACCCTCAACTTGCTCCCAGACCTGGCCAGTGCCAGAGCAGGTGATGTGCTGGTGCTGCTGCAGGGCCTGGTGCTGGGGGGGGGACCTGCTCTTGATTGACAGGAACTGTCATCCTGCCCCAGCTGATCCAGTTCAAAGCAGACATCAACGCCGTGAACGAGCACGGGAACACACCACTGCACTATGCCTGCTTCTGGGGCCATGATCCAGTGGCAGAGGTGAGTGGAAGCGCTGGGACATGGGTGGGGAGGGGGAGAACGAGGCAGGAGGCTCAGCATGGCAAATGCTGATACCCGCTCCCTGCTCCCTCAGGACCTGGTGGGTAACGGGGCTTTGGTCAGCATCGCCAACAAGTACGGTGAGACACCCATGGACAAAGCCAAGCCACCGCTGCGGGAAGTCTTGAGAGGTAGGAGGTTCCCAGCACGGCGCGGCAGCCTCCGTGCCCCACACCGGCAGCGCTGCCAACCCCTTGTCCCCTGCAGAGCGCGCCGAGAAGCTGGGGCAGAGCCTCACCAAGATCCCCTACAAGGACACCTTTTGGAAGGGCACCACACGCACGCGCCCCAGTAAGGCCAGAGCCCTCCCGCTGGGCAGGGCTGTTCCCGGGGGGTGGGAAGGTCCCAGGCCCGCAGGCTCCATGCCCTCCTTTTCCCACAGGGAACGGGACTCTCAACAAACTCGCTGGAATCGACTTCAAGCAGCTCATCCTGAGCCAGAAACTCAACGAGAACCAGTCGGGGGAGGTGCGTGGCTGGGGGAGCGCTGCCTCCAGCAGAGCCCTGCTCCTGCTCCATCCCTGCTGGGTGCAGGGATGGGCATGGATGCCTCAGGGGGTCCCAGAGCCAGGCGCGGGGCTGGGCAGGCGCTGCTCTCGTGCTGTGTCACTGTCACCTCATGTCACTGTGCACCCATCCTGAGGACCCCATAGCCCCATGAAGGGGTGGGAGGTGCTCGGGGGCCGTGGGTCTTGCAGCAGTGTCTCCACTGTCTCCTCTGGTCCCTGCAGCTGTGGAAGGGGCGCTGGCAGGGCAATGACATCATCATCAAAATGCTCAAAATTCGTGACTGGACAACTCGGAAGAGCCGAGACTTCAACGAGGAATACCCGAAGCTGCGGTGAGCAGCAACCTTGTCTGCCCCAGGGCAGCAGCGCTTGAGGCCGGGCTCCGACATGGGCAGGACATGGCACAGGAGCTGTGCAGGGGGGCTGTGGGGAGCACCTGCCACCCTCAGGGCTGGTGCTTGCCCCTCAAAGGGTGCTCAGGCATT